ATTATCTGGAAGTTCCTCCCAGATACTGGTACTGTAGTCCATGCTCAGGTTTTGACTTTTTGCTATGGCCATGAAGATGTTCAGAACAGAAAATATCAGGGAATTGTGGTGGGGACAGCAGCAGATAAAAAGAGAAGCAGCTCTCAAAATGTTGAAGAATTCAGCTACCAATTCCAGCGCTTACTCATTGAAAAGTGGGCAGAGTGGTACACCTTCTGGAGAAGAAGGCGGAAATTCTAGGGAGAGCACTGCTTGAGATTGAAGCCAGAAGGAACTACAAAGCTTCCCTTGCATGGGGGTCCATAAAGGAGGGGGAGGAACATAATTTGTAAGCAGTTCTCTATGTGAGGAAAAGGAAGTCTGGACAATCAAAGTAATCATGAGATCACTGTCCTGTATGTACAAGTCTTTGTGTAAAAGTTTTGTAGCCACAGAGTATCTAGGTGATGAGGGTCTAGGAATGTCACAGAAATGACACCACCTTCCAGGGGCACAGACACTGAAAGAAACAATTAATAAATGGGACCTCTTCAAACTTAGAAGCTTCTGTAAGGCAAAGGACACAGTTGACAAGACCAAACGGCAGCCCACTGACTGGGAAAAGATTTTCACTAGTCCTATATCCGACAAAGGGCTGATCTCCAAAATATACAAAGAACTCAAGAAACTAGTCAACAAAACAACAAATAACCCTATTAAAAAATGGGGTACAGAACTGAAGAAAGAATTCTCAATGGAGGAAATCAAAAAGGCTGAAAGACACTTAAGAAAATGCTCGACATCCTTAGCTATCAGGGAAATGCAAATCAAAACAACTTTGAGATACCATCTTACCACTGCCAGAATGGCTAAAATTAGAAACACCAGTGATGACTCATGTTGGAGAGGATGTGGAGAAAGTGGAACACTCCTCCACTGCTGGTGGGAGTGCAAACTCATACAGCCATTTTGGAGATCAGTATGGCGGTTCCTCAGGAAAATGGGAATTAGTTTACCACAGGACCCGGCAATCCCCCTCTTAGGCATATACCCAAAGGATTCACATCCATGCAACAAAGACATCTCTTCAACTACGTTCATAGCAGCACTATTTGTAATAGCAAGAATCTGGAAGCAACCTAGATGCCCTTCAATTGAAGAATGGTTAATGAAGATGTGGCACATCTACACAATGGAATACTACTCTGCAGAAAAAAATAATGGTATCTTGAAATTCGCAGACAAGTGGATGACACTTGAAGAAACCATCCTGAATGAGGTAACCCAGTCACAAAAAAGAGAAACACAGTATGTACTCACTCATATATGGATTTTAGACCTACATCAAATGATCACCAGCCTATAATTCACATCACCAGAGGAACTAGGATACAAGTTGTATTCTAAGAGATTCATATAAAGTCCCTCACAGAACTGGGAAGGGACAAGTCCCCCAGTCCTCAGGTAAAGTGGGGGAGGACAGCAAATGGAGAGAGAAGTAGGAGAAAATGAGGGGGAGGAGAGGAAGGCATGTGCGACCAGGAGGATTGAGCCTGGTTAGGAATGGAAAATAGGAAAGAGAGAGAGAGAGACAGACAGAGAGAGAGAGAACATAAAAGAGGGAGCCAATATTGATTTGAACACAAAGAAAGGTCGAGAGAACTACAAGACTGCTCCCAACTAACAATCTCAGCTTCCGTGGAAAGGCTATCATAAATACCCTTCCCGGAGAGTGAGATCAACAACTAACTTATCCATGGAGCCCTCAACTAATGCCTGTTGGAAACAGGATAAAACACCCATACATAAACACTGAGTCGAACTAGAACCCAGATGCAGATGGAGAGGACAAGACCATGTGGCAGAAACACATACAGACAGCTTACCTGAACAAGGAGGACCTAACGGCCACTAGACTGATAGCTAGGAAGCCAGCCTGGGACTGACTCAGGCCTCACTGCATATGGGTCTCAGGCAGAAGGACTGAGCAGTCTAAGGGACCTCAGACAATGGAGCCAGGATGTATCCCTGGTGCAAAAAATGACTTTGAGAACAATTCAGTGGTTTTAATGTACTGTTTCTGGAAATAAAATACAAGAACTAGCATAGTTGGTATTTACACCATAGGTTTATCCTGTGTCGTTTTACTGAAATCTCATGCAACTTGGTCCAGTTCTCTCCATAATAAGAACAGTACATGTGCATAGCTGACTGTTTCTCTATGATCTGTTCTGTAGGCCACTTTTGCACTATTATTCTGGAAGTTTTTCTCAGATACTGTAGTCCATGCTCAGGTTTTGGCCTTTAGGTATGGCCATGAAAATGTTCAGAGCAGAAAATATCAGAAAATTGTGGTGGGGACAGCAGCATCTCTCAAAATGTTCAAGAGTTTAGCAACCAATTCCAGTGCTTACTCATTGAAAAGTGGGCAGAGTGGTACACATTCTGGAGAAGAAGGCGGAAAATTCTAGGGAGAGCACTGCTTGAGATTGAAGCCAGAAGAACTAGAAAGCTTCCCTTGCATGGGGGTCCATAAAGGAGGGGGAGGAATATTATTTGTAATCAGGTCACTATGTGAAGAAGAGGAAGTCTGGACAGCCAAAGTAATCATGAGATCACTGTCCTGTATGTACAAGTCTTTGTGTGAAAGTTTTGTAGCCACAGAGTATCTAGGTTATGAGGTCCTAGGAATGTCACAGAAATGACACCACCTAACAGACTTCACCAATTTGAAAAGTGGCTACTTCTGAGTGAGGATGGAGACACTGGCAGGATCAGATGTCAGATTTAAGGAGAGGTAGGGATATGGTGCATTTACATATGGAAAACCTGGGTAAGGTGGGGACAGAGGAAATGTGTCACCTTGGCCCTGGTGATAGGAGGGCATTGTTGCTGAGACATTAGGCAGGGTGAGGATGCATAAATTTCACAGAAAGGTAAAATAACAAAAGTGATGATGGAGAATGCATGCAGACTAAGTATCTTCCAGAGAAAGATACTTAGTATTCATTGGGATGGATAGATATATTTGCACTCAGTTGAGTTAGAAAGCTGTTGTTAAAAAGCTGATGGAACCCTAATTGTGTAATTGGCATTAAAACAGTGCTGTAACACAGGCATAAAACCCAATCACCAGGTAGTAGTGGTGCACGCCTTTAATGCCAGCACTCAGGAGGCAGAGACTGATGGGTTCTGTAACTTCAGGGCCAGCCCAGTTTACAGAGCACATTCCAGGACAGCCAGAAAGAGAAAACCTGTCATACAAAACAAAAACAAACAAAATCCCAATCCTTAAAAAAGTATGTTAGTGTCACTGTATCATTGAAATCTAGACAACAATCTTTTAATTAATTTACATAAAACAGTGCCTATAATTTAGTGCTTACACTAGATAGTTTTCAAAATCGAGTAAAGCTCAAAGGTTTTAAGACCATATGGAGGACTTATTTGTTTCAAGGTGCTCAATAAACCCCATGACTGTCTAAATAATACTCCATGTTGCATTGTACTTAGTGTAAAGGATGCTACAGTTGAGGCTCTGTGAATGTTATTTTCCTGCAACCTATGTTTTAGAGGTGTAGAAAGCTTGCTCAAACATTCAGAAGTTTGTGAGCAAGATCACATAGTGCAATATAAATTATGAAGAGTACATTTTTGGGGGGGGTTAAGATGATGAAATCAGATGAAATGTTGTGGGTGTAAAACTTCAGAAACCTGGTGTCAACAATAAGAATATATAATCCCTTGATGTTTCCAGAGGAAGGTATTGTAGTGGCTGCTATGTGGTGTTCAGTTTCATTTTAAGCTTATTTATAATAACCAAAAGTGGTTCCTCAGATTAAAATCTGCCAATTTAGTTGATGGCTAATTCAATTCCCTCTGTATTATTTCAGTCACTCTGTATACATGACTCTTAAGTGTTGGGACATCAGTTACCTATATGGCTTGTTGCTATATCTATTCCATTTCTGATGCTTAACAAGACCCTCACAATGTAGCATTGGTCTGTAACTTTTGTAGAAAACCTTTTATTTTAATAAAACAGACAGACAATTAAAGACAGACAATATTTAAATATAGTGGTGTTATTCAGAGAGTTGACACCCAAAAATATATTTGGGCATTTCAGTGTGTCTGTGTCTGTGTGTGTGTGTGTGTGTGTGTGTGTGTGTGTGTGTGTATGTGTAATATACTTGATGTTAATATATATAATTTTACAGTATCCATCTTTGTTTAAATTTTTTCATATACCATGAGACATAAAAGTAGTGAATAAAGCCATCATTTTTATGTGGAAAGTTTCTGAGGAGAGATGTTAGGCAATACATTTTATATAATGGTTTTCAAGGCTGTGTAGGTGGACTTCCTCCTGATTTTCATGTTTAACCTATATACTCATAAAACCTCATGGTCTCATATAGTTAGGACCTATGCACCTACAACCAGTTGGAGGGGCGACTGGATACTCAAGTGAAGGTCCAATGACCTTGTCTATGTCCTCCTTATTTGAAAAAATATTAGTATTTAACAAGTCCAGCTATAATTGTTTTAAGCAGGCAGTGATGGCACTCTGAAGATAGACATTGTTGAGTCAGAAGGTATTCTGTCACCTAACCTTAACAAGAGAAGGCTGAAGACCTTTACACAAAAGAAGTGATTAAAGAAACTATTACCTGTGTACATACTGCAAAAACCATTAGGTCTTATAAGTTCTCAGGTCAACCTTGTAGAAAACATAACCTAGTTTTTTCCTATCTTCAAAACCCAGCATGTGCTGTACAACTGGTTTTTCCCTCTAGCAAAACATGCATATTTGTATTGGAGCATTGAACGAAGTTGTACTATTAATTTGTGTTTTCAGTGTTACATTTCCTTAGAGGAGTAAGATACAAATGTTAGCTTTCATGGTTATTCCTTTCACTGCCAACCCTACCCCCCTTTTTAGGTTTTGGTTTTTAGTTTCATTTGTTTTTGTTTTGGTTTTTAGTTTCTCATATTAGTCTATCATAAAAATTACTTACATTACAGGTACATTGTTGTACCTCAATGTGTAGTGATAGAGGTAGTGATGCATTTTTACAAGTGTAGAAACACGGCATCTAACAGTCACTAAATTAGAGTGGTTTTGGTTGACATTGCATAGGTCTACATGGTTCTGGCATGGTTATTACTTTGGGGCTGGGCTAAGGGAGGTGCTGGAGGAGGAGAGATGAATATTTTGCTACAAACTTTAAGTAACAAATTTTTGTAACAAACACATTTTGTGGAGAAGCTTTAGCTCTTACATGTCAAGTTTTGTTCTGTTCCCCTGTACCTAGTCTCTCTCTCTCTCTCTCTGGTGTGTGTATGTGGGTGGCTGGGTGGGTGGGTGTGGGTGTGTGTTTGTCTCTATCCCTACAGCCCTCCTACACTCCAAACCTCTCTGTCTTAATCTTGGTTACAACATAATTCATCAACCATGTTCAGCATATAGAATCCTGAATGTTACAGTCAAGCTTTACAGCCACAGGGTGTCTTCACCTCTGGAGAAAAGAGGTGCTTTGGGACTGGTGGCAGTCAATTAGAGGGGATGGAGGGCCACATCAAGCGTCCCATGAATGCATTTATGGTGGTCTAGGACTCAGAGGCATAAGTTAGCCCTGGAGAATCCAAGCATGGAAAATGCAGAAATCAGTAAGCAACTGGGATACTAGTGGAAATCACTTACAGAAGCTGAAAAAAAGGCCATTTTTCCAAGAAGCACAGAGACTGAAGACCTTACACAGACAGAAATACCCAGACTATAAGTACAGGCCTCTCCGGAGAGCTAAAGTACCACAGAGGAGTGACACTTTGCTGCCTGCAGATGCCTCTTCAAAGCTTCACAACCAGCTGCAAGGGGACAAGAACCTGTGCACATTCACATACAGAGAGGACCGGCCTAGGACTGCACACTTGCCCTCCAGGATCCAGCTAAGCTATTTGCAGCATGTGGACGTCCCCACTGAGTACTCAGTCCAGCAGCAGCAGCAGCAGCAGCACGTACTTTACCAACAACAGACATCACCAGTGACCACACAACTTAGCAGCATCACATCAATAAAACAGTGTGGCAGTGCAATGGCAGTGGCTTTTGTTGTGATGTATGTCAATATTCCCTCTTGCTATAATTTGCAGCCTCAGATTTCTCACCTTTAGTTTGGATACTGATTATCCTTCTCCTGTAATAAAGACCACGCTCATTTTGTTTGGATTCTAAAATGAGGTGGGTATAGATGATTCGTGTATAAGAAAGGAGAATACTTGGAAGGGATTTTACCCAATTTTAAGGTTGTTTAATAGATACCTGTTGCATCACTGTGGAAAGTGTTGTTTATCTGTAACTCTTCAATGTTCATCTATAAGAAAAGCACAGAGGTTAATGGTGTGGAAAAACAGCCTGTGCTTCTTTGAAAATGCAAAACATCTTTTTCTTTCAGGTCCCTGTAGAAAGCTGAGATTTCCTTCTTTTCATCAGCTTACTCCACACCTATGGAGTATGCTTTGAACTCTTTAGAACATCCTTTAGCAAAATAAAGCCTGCTTTTCTCTTAATTTTGTCTGTCTTTAAATATATAGCTGTTTTATTAAAATAAAAGGTTTTCTACAAAAGTATTACAGACCAAAGCTACATAGCATCAGTTGCCCTTCAATCTGAACTGGAGAAATATCACAAAGTCCCTCTCTAAGATGAAGAATTACAAGACTTTAACAAACCTGAGAGAAGGTGAATTAGTACTTTGTTGGGAGGAATATCTGACTAATGATCTCATACTCATACTTAGTGCTCAGCTCTAAAAACGAAACAAATTCAGTTAACATTCAACGTACATTTACAGTATGGGGAACTATCGAGACCACGAGTTAGGTCCAGGCCAAAGGGACTCCGGAATTAGCATGACTGGGCTCGCTTTGGCCACTAATAATGAAAGACCCCCAAGAGACCCAAGAGTTTGGAGCCTGTCACGGGGGAAGGCCCTTGCCCCCAAGAGACGAGACCAGAACACTGGATGCAAGTGCAAGAGGTTGTTTATTGTTTACACACAGGTACCTGTGGACGCTTCAGTCTTTGGGGGACTGAGCGTGCTGAGGTTAAAACTCAGGCAGTTTATACAGGGTTGGTGTGGCCAGAAGAAGCAGCCTTACAGAAGCAGAAGCATGGCTACAGGGATTTCATTGTTTCATCTAAATGTAGCAGTTGTAGTTAACCAAAGGACAGTTGGTTATTCGGGTTGGGCACAAAGAATACAAAGAATTCAGTTATGACTCTCTCAGCATCCCGGATACTGTCCTGCTGACCTTGCTTTGGTCCAAGCTGCAGACCACAGATACCTGGTTGGCGTTGGATGAGAGCAGCACCTGGTTCCCTCCTGTACTTTTCTCATAACTTGACCCTGGCAAATTAGCAAGAGCAGTTTAAACAGGCAATAAGCATAGTGGGGGTCTTTCAATAAAACTCCCTGTGAATTATTATGGAAGACAAACACACCGTACTGAAACTCAAATATGTTATTGCCTGAGTTCATAGTAAACATCACATATCGACCTTCTTCAGTGCATACTCACAACAGCTCCTTCCAAACACAGATAAAGGGACAGGGTGAGATGGCTCAGGTGTAGAGCCACTTGCTGTCAAGCCTAACAATTTGAGTTCAATGCCGAGGAACTTCACAGTAGAATGAGAACCAACTCCCTCAAAATTTTCCTGACCTCCTCAATTCCATCACAATGTGTGTGTGTGTGTGTGTGTGTGTGTGTGTGTGAATGTATATATGTTTATACTGTGTGAAGAGGTATCACTGTGATTGGTTTAATAAAGATCTGAATAGTCAAAAATACAGGAATTCTGGGCAGAGTAAGGAACTAAGGTGCTTAGGAGACACCAACCAGTAAGACACTGAGGAAGTCAGACATATATTTCAGAGGAGAGGGACCTGAGGCATGTGATATAATAATAATTTCAGGTTAATTTAAGGTATAAGAGCTAGTTGGGAAAAAGCTTAGCCAAGGCCCGGGTTTCATGATTAATTATGAGTCTCTGTGTCAATTTGTGGGAGATGGTGACACAAAGGACAGTGGATTACACCTGTGTCTCCTGTTTCATCTGTGTGAGTTCATATAAACTCTGCTCACTTGATTTGGAGGGTCTTTTTCTCCTGGTGTCCTCCATCCCCTCAGGCTCTTGCCTGCATTGCTGCCTCTTCTCACAAGGGGTTCCCTGGCTGGGATGGAGAAGACTACTCACAGCTGAGGGATCCAAGAACAAACATAAACCATACTCTGTCTGTCTGTCTGTCTGTCTGTCTTTCTGCCTGTCTGCCTGCCTGCCTGTCACCCCTCTCCCTCTCTCTCCTTTTCTCTCTCTCCCTCTCTCCCTCTCTCTCTCTCTCACTCTCTCTCTCTCTGACTACACAATGTCTCACTGTATGCAATTGATCCCATCTGCAAAGCATTCCTGGGTCAGCCCAGGGGAACAGAAATCCAAGAACCATGAGTGAACCCTGAGGTGGGGACTTCTAATGTCCTCTGAGAGGTTGAACCTCCAAGAACAGGATTTTTAGGGGCAGAGTGTGGACTGAGGTGACTCAGGAGAGGGCCCAATCTTGGCACCTTGAGGGAAGGGTTTGGAGCAGGGCTACAAACGCACATGTCCTCTGAACACTGAGGTCCCTATGTTCACTGACCTCTGATGTCACCCTGTCCTCTGATGGGTCTTGTCTCCAAGTCCAGTGTCCTCTGATGTCCACTGTCTTCTCATGTCACCGTGTCCATGGGCCTCTGTCCATGTCCCCTGACCTCTCATACCCCTCTGTAACTTACCTCTGATATCTACCAACGCTGGAGTTCTGTGTCTTCTCATGCTTCACCCTTTGGACACTTTTTGTGCTGACCTGAGCCCTAGAACTCGAGTGTGTCTGTGATGCTCTCTCGTAACCACAGCCCCGGGTCCTCATCTGGCCTCCAGAGACTTGAAGAATGATACAACTAGAAGAACACTTACAGTCCCAGGTTCAGGAACACTCACCCTTGTTATCCACCTCATTATTGCCAGGCTAGGGATGGCCACCACCCAGTGCCAAGTAAATGCCAGGTGCTGATGTGTCATGTGATAAACTTCTCAGTCCCTCCATGCCTCAGAAGAGCCTCCCCCTCACTCCCCTTTCTAAATAAACTCCTCATTCAAGCTCCATCTGCCTGGCATGTATTTCCCTCACCACGGTCACCCTCTCCTGCTATGAACCTGCTATGCTCTCCTAGGTGGTCCCTTACCTGGGGAACCCCCACACAGGACCACACCCCCTGCAGTTTTATCCTATAACTGTAACACAAGAACTTCAATGGGTCCTGGAAGGAGGTCCCTACAGGCTTTACTTTACCCTGGAGACAGGTGTGACTCTGAGCAGGAAAGCAGGATCAAAGGTCAGCCCTGTCCTGTGGGCGTTCACACAGGCTAGAGCATGGTACCTGCACAGGTTCAAAGTGGTCAAGGGGACCCATGCAGTGCACCCCAGGGCTGACTGTATGTTACCAAGGCAGGCCTTGCCCAATGTAGGCCTTGGGTCAGTGTACTGCAGCCACAGCACAGACTACAAGTGCAGTCACCCACCATCGTAAATGGTCCCTGTGTCCATCTATTCCTAACAAGGTTTACACTTTTCCCCTGGCTCAGATGGGACAGGCATACAGGACCCCAGTGAGAAAGGCCCACAGAACACTCTGGAGCTCATAATCCCACAGCAGTGAGAAGACCTGATGGCCAGAAAACAGAAAATAGGAAGGGTAAAACTATGTTGTAGATACCAATATCCTTGTTCTTGTTTTGTATTCCACAAAAACGAACTTTAAATCTCCTCAATTGTGACAGGGAGCTTTCTTTTGCTTCATTTTGAACAAAAATGTGCCCTCAACTTTAATAATGTAGAATATAAAATTAAATAAAGATAGCTAGTTACCTTTAAAGGAGTGTTTGTTTGTTTGTTTGTTTGATTGATTTTATCTCTGATGTAATCCATGCATGTTTCCAGGGGTCATGAGAAGATGTGAAGCAGCACTTTG